GATGGGGCAAACTGTTAGCAACTTACTTTCAAATGATTCAATCATTTAAATAAAAGTTATTTGAACTACAATTGTAACAGTTCTGTAAGTTTGAGAGTGCTTCAAAAGAAAAAACTAAAAATAAATGTCAAACTGAACCTCTTGACTTAAATTAAAAAATTGTCTTGTTATTTAGGAACCTGGAGAAAGATTTTTTTTTTTTGAGACAGTTTCACTCTTGTTGCCCAGGCTGGAGTGCAATGGCATGATCTCAGCTCACTGCAACCTATTCCTCCCAGGTTCAAGCAATTCTCCTGCCTCAACCTCCCGAGTAGCTGGGATTACAGGAATGTGACACCACACCCTGCTAATTTTGTAGTTTTAGTAGAGACAGGGTTTCACCATGTTGGTCAGACTGGTCTTGAACTCCCGACCTCAGGTGATCCACCTGTCTCGGCCTCCCAAAGTGCTCGGATTATAGGCATGAACCACCATGCCCGGCCAGAAAAAGACATTTTTAAGTGCATCCCAAAGTAGATTTACCAGTTGTTTTCAAACTGCTGATGTTTGGAAAGCTCTGGTCACCTGAACACTACTAAATTATTTTCCCCTAAGATCCTTTGCTCCATGTCCTGGTCCAGTTCCCTTTCTCACACCCTTACTCATAGGACGCCAAGAGCATACAAATGTTACTTCTGCTCGGATTCCCACCACAATCTTCCACCTGTTCTCCCTGCCTTCACATCCTCCTGCACCAATTCATCCTTTCCCATCTATGTGGAAACCACATGTCTCAACAATGTCAGGTCGCTTTGGCCAAATGGAGGTGGAGTAGTTAAGAAACAAAATTTTCATTTATATTCTGATTTATATAGTCCTATTACTTGAATGTATTACTTTTGTATATGAAAACAAAAAAAAAAAGCATTTAAGAGTTGCCGATCATGTAAAGAATCAAGTCCAACTCTATCTGGACATGCTGGTCCCTTCTCAGCATGGCCCAAGCTGTGGCAAGTCTACCTTCCCCGGGCTGTAACCACAGCAAGTCCCTCTCCATGTCCTTCACACAGGGGGCTCTTGCACAACCCCAGGCTCTTGTGAGATGGGAGAATTCTCATGTAAAGAAACTGGCAGTCCTAAATAACAGACTTCCTAATACTCATATTTGGAGGTCCCAGTACCAAACACAGCGCAGGGCCCAATTACTCCAGTGTAGCCAACAGTTGACAAGTGGGTCCCCTCAGCAGAGCTCCTGCTGAGCTTCTGAAGGCCTTAGTCTTAAATATGAGCAGACAGCAGAAGCTCCAACAGGCAAGCCTGAGAGCAAGGCAAACAGACTGACAAAGCGTGAATTTAACAAGAAAAGAGCATGGGAAGACGTGAAAACCTTTATTTTTTTATGTTAACGTTTTATTCTGAAAAAAATTCAGGTTTACAAAACAGATGCAAACATATGACAAAGATTTTCCATATACCCTTCATTCAGACTTGCCAAATGTTGATGTCACATTTTGATATTAAAGTCAGGAAATGAACACTGACATGCTATAATCTACAGCCCCTCTTCACATTTCACCTGTGGTTCCATTAGTGCCATCTTCTGATCCAGGATCCCAACTGAGATCATGTGTTGCTTTCATCTGCCTCTCCAGTCTAGGAGACATTGCCTTTTATGACCCTGGCACTTTTAAAGGGGAATGTAGACTACAAGTACAAATGTAAGTGCAGAGTTCCCTTCAACCTGTATTTGACTGAAGTTTCCCCATGTATCAACCCTGTTATACTTTTTTGATAAAATGCCACAAAAGTGATGCGATGTCTTTCTCATGGCATGATCAGGAGGCAATCATCTGCCCATTACTGTGCTGCTCAGCACTGGTTAAGGTACTGTCCTAGGCTCCTTCACTGTGAACTACCTGTTCTTTCCTTTGTAACTAACATTATTTTGTGGCATAAAACTTTGACACAATGTCAGTATTCTTTTTCATCATACTTTTACCCACATATTTTAGGGCTACTGAAGATTCCTGCCTAAGACTATTACTACTACTATGGTGTTGCCAAATGATTACGATAAAAACTTTATTGAAAACAAATCAATAACCTAGAGATTTGTGCAGGACTTGGCAAACTGCAGCCTGAAAGTCAAATTCAGCTGCTGTTTTTATAAATAAAGTCTTTTTGGAACACAACCATGCCCATTTGTGTACCATCTATAGCTGACTTCACACCACAATGGCACAGTTGAGGAGTTGCAGCAGACACCATATGGCCCACAAAGCCTCAATTATTATCTGGCCCTTTGCAGAAAAAGTTTGCCAACACCTTCTTTAGAGAAAATATTACATTTATAAAACAGACCCAATGCTTTAGAAGGAACTAGAAAACAAAGAGTTCTTATAAAATAAAAACCTGATCATCAAAATAAAAAATTCAATACATGGATTAAAAAACAAAAATATTCCATAAAACAAAACGAAAGACTAAAAGACATAAGATAAGATGGAAAAGGTAAGGCACTTGAAAGAATCAATCCAGAAAGAATCACAGTTCATTAACAAAAGTTAAAGACAGCAGAGAAAGTACTGTCAGATTTTTTAAAAGTCCAGGACTTAAGTACACAAGTTCATAAATTAAAATGACCCACAATGAACACAAAGACCTATTTCAAGGCATATCATCTTGAAATTTTAAGACACCAAGAGAGAAGAGTAAATCCTAAAAGCTTCCAGTGAGCAAAGAAAGAGAGAATACCACATACAGAAGAAGAAAAGGCAAAGTAGTATTAGATACAGCAACAATGATAGCAACTGTCTTCAAAGTTTCCAGTGAAAACATTTTTCTTCCTACAGTTTGGTACCCAATTAAACTATCCATCAGACATTTTTCAGAAAATCATAGATTCAAAATGTATCTCCCATATCATCTTTCTTAGAAAGACACAGGAGAACGTGTACCACTGAAAGAAAGGATATGAACCAGGAGAGAGGAAGACAGGATTCCATAAAATGGAGGATGCATGCAGGGAACCCCAGAATGACAGCTTCCCAGCAAGGCTAGAGAGCAAGCAGTTGAGATGGAACTCCAGGGCTGAAGCATCCTGGAAGGAACAAAAAGTAGAATTCATAATCTGATATGTTTAAATGTATTTAGAAATACGGAGGCAAATATGAGACAGCTTTAAAAAGCTGAATATTAACATGTCAGACATGTGAAAGGTATGTTGGGGCAGGGGTGTCAGCTAGCATCATTCGGTGCTAGCAGAATGTGTGTGTGGCATGCACACCTGTTTTGATGAGACTCGTAAAAGCACCAAGGCTTTATGAGCACTGCCTCCACCTCACCCTTTCCCACTGCTGCCCAGTAAACCTCCCTTCCAAGGTGAACTCAGATGTAAGGGACTCCCAGAATCATCTGAGTCAAGAATTGGTCCCAGCTTCCTTTGAGATCCCATAGCTGCTGGTATATCCCTATAACAGTTTCCATTGGTTCAATAAATAGTTACTGAGTATCGACTATGGAGCACCTGGCATGCTCCTAGGTGCTGGAGATGCAGCAGTGAACCAGAAGTCATCATTGTCCCTGCTCACAGGACTAGCAGTCTGGCAGGTAAGGCAGACATTCGCGTCCACAGGGCTCCACTGTGCCATCCCTGAGGTCCTTGCTTCCCTCCTCCATCCAAACATCATTAAACAGGAGGTAGAGAATAGGGCTCCTTCCCCGGCTCTACTATGTTTCCAGTATTGTCAGGACACCTAGTCCCTCACAAAGGGGTTTCAGGGAGTCTCCACATATTTTCCCGTGGTTATATTCCAATGCAACTCTGTAAGTGGCACTTGGCATCTCCTGACTCCTGGTCCTCATCTGGGCTCTCACTCCTCCTGGTCTTCACCTGATGCTCACTCAGCTGGGGCAGGCACTCCACCTTCCCTCTTTGGTGACACCATGAAATAACACAGTCCAGTGCTCACAACATCTGACAGCATTTCAAACTCCTCTCTTCCTAAGGACTTTGGCCCAAGGTCGTGGAGGGCAGGAAGGTGGAGGACAGTGTCAGCAGCAAAAATCCTTTTTACTCTCATAGTTTTTTTGGGTAAGAATGTAATATCTGTTCCCTATCTTCACTTGATTGCTGTCTTCAGGCTGTTTATTCTGCACTCTCACACGCTCACATCATACATACACCTCCAAAGAGAAAGTGGCCAGGTCACTAAACAGGAGAAGAATAAAACACAGAGAGGGGCGTGTGCTCATGCATGCCTAAGGAGGAGGAACACCGCAGGACATCGAAACTTTAAAGTAGGCAATAAAAATATAATCAAAACAACCTATACAATCTAAAACAATGTAGAACCAAATGCCTTAAAATAACATAGGCTTATATAAATATCACCCCTATTTGAACCCTGAGCATCTGTCAATTTTCTTAAAATATTTCCGCAGAGGAAGTATCGATAACTCATCCATCTCTATCCCCACTCACACAGAGCTGGTGTCCCCACTGGACCTGTAACGTGCCTTGCTCTTTTAAGTTATAACTTCCTTATGATGATCTCAGATATATCTTTCCTTGTGCCATTGGTCTATTTAACTTTATTAAATACTAACATGGCTGCTGAATGTCATGAATATAGCACTTTCTAATTCTAACGAATACAGTAAAGCTTATATTAATATTTAAGTACATTTTTTCACTTGGGCTTCTTACCAATAAAGAAAAAAAAAGAAAAACCCTTATGTGTAAGCACACACCCCACCCTGCACGTGTGACACGTGCAGACGCAGACACACACACACACACACACACACACACACACACACACAGTGATCACATGATCATTTACTTAAGTAGAAGTTCTTAAACTTTTAACCAAGGGCAGAAGAGAAGTAAATACCTTTTTTTCTTTTTATATAAAGTTTCTTTGTTAGTTTTCTTCTTAAAATTTAACTGACTCCTTCAAACATTAACTTAAAAATGACCCACAAATAATTTCTAATGTGAGATGAAAGGCATCACACAGCACTCTGCAGATTTGCTTTATTTTAACTTTCAACACTAAGAACAAAGCCAGTTAGTCAAAAAATAAACAACTAAATAACAATAACTTGTCACCTGCTGCTAATATTCAGTCCCAAACCAGTGGTTGATTTTTGCAACACTAAGGTAAAGGACCAGGTTGACAATAAAGTATTCTTCCGTCTCTCTGATCCACACCAGCTCCACGTGCACTCTTCCCTCTGCATCGACATAGTCCATGCTGTACATCTGTCCCAAGAAGCTAGGGCCGTCAGAGGGTGTGGCAGGCAATCTCATGCACACTGGGGAACTGAAACACCAAAAGGGTTTCCCATGTTCATCCAAAAGAGTTACGTCCATCATAGAACAACTCTGCAAAATAAACACAGATTGACAAGGATTAAAAAAAAAGGCCGGCCGGGTGTAGTGGCTCACGCCTGTAATCCCCGCACTTTGGGAGGCCAAGGCGGGCAGATCATGAGGTCAAGGTATCAAGACCATCCTGGCCAACACGGTGAAACCCTGTCTCTACTAAAAATACAAAAAAATTAGCTGGGCATGGTGGCACACTCCTGTGGTCCCAGCTACTCGGGAGGCTCAGGCAGAAAAATTGCTTGAACCCAGGAGGCGGAGGTTGCAGTGAGCCGAGATTGCGTCACTGCACTCCAGCCTGGCGACAGAGCAAGACTCTGTCTCAAAAAAAAAAAAAAAAAAAAGGCCTGATTTATATCGTGACTCTGTAAAACTGACTAAAAATGTTGCATGTGGCATCAAAATCCAGAATACTACATTGGTTTTTCATGGCCTACTTTATATCCTAGACTATACTTGTGTGTTTCATCACTTAATATTCATTCCCAGATATACAAAGGAGCACCCACAGTTATCAGTTTAGGACTTAGCACTGGGACCTCAGAGAATGTGTCATAAATATTGACCCTATCTTCATGGACTTAAAGTCCAGAGGCTACAGAGGTGACACAAACCACACCAATGACCAGTCAGTGCTTCCAAGCATGAGGTGCCGCATTGCCCTGAAGAGCAGTATAGGTGTGCTCCTGGGTCTTCACTGCCACCGCCAGGCCCTCCCTCCCCTCTTCTGAGAAACCTCCTGCTTCTCTGAAGCTCCAAACTTCAGCTCTGCACCCTTGCTCCATGCCCGTCTCCGGCATGTGCCAGCCTCCTGTCTGCCTGCTCTCATTTCCGGGACTCTGGCACCAGCCCTGCTGTCTGCCTCTCCCCCTCACTCCCTCCCAAGTCTTCCAAGACTCACCATCACCCCAAGTGATCCCAACATCCATGGGGACCTCAGTGGAGCTTCCAGGACTCTTAGCTCCTGAGCTGTTCAACTCCATGATCTCCTCCTTGACTTGACCTCAGTTATTCACTCTCATGATGCATCACTTCCTGGAAGTGGTCCACTTCCACTCTCAATGCCTCAGGCACCCTGTCTTCTAACTGCCACCCTTCATCTTCCAGCTGACTCACTGAATGACTTCCACTACAACTGTACTTCTGATTCACCCAGTGTTTTCATCCTGTAAGCCATGACCTATTAGTGCATCCTGAATTACATTTAGTAGGGCACAACTGTTTGTCAAAATAAAACGAAACAAAATGAAAGAGAACACAGCAAGCATTGCACATAGTAGGCATAAATGTCATTTCATGAACGCTGTTTTAATTGCACACATATGTGTGCATACTGCAGTGGACGTGTAGAAAGGTCTGAAGAGCACTGCTCATGGACCTAGCCCATCGGCCAGCCAGCTCTTCCTTCTCCTGCCTCTTCTTCTCCACTTTAGATTTCACTGGCCTTTGCTGCAGTAACACTCTTGCCAATGCACATACCTCCCTCGCTCACCTTGCATCACACCTTAGGTCCAGGTCTAGCAAAATCCCAGACCTGGAGGAGCCCAGTTATTTTCTATCTGTCTGGACCTGAGCACCAAGCATGGCGGGAGGGCTGCACACAGAGCTGCTGGGTGCCCATGCAGCCACATCATCCTCAGCGTGGCCTGGGGGTCCCACCCTGACTCTCTGGATGGCTCCCTCTCTGCCTCATGGAACAATGCCTCATCCTCTCCCTCAGCCCTCTGCATCCTACTAGGAGGGTACTCTCTGCAGAGGACCTCGCTCTTCACAGAGAAGGTAGAAGGATGTTTTCCTCAACTTCCCACCACGGATCCACAGCGCAGCTCCTCTGAGCCCATCTCCTCACATGTGTTTCTCATCTGCTCCTCCTGCGTGTGGCCCAGTAACCTTGTGCTGCAGCACAGCCCATCCCGTAAAGGCACCACGTCCCTCTCTAGTGACTACTTCTGTCCTCTCATTAGCTTTTAACTTTCAACACACTCACGTAACTCCCACCATAGAAAGGCAGAGACAGAAAACAGCCTCCCTGGGCCCCGCAGGTCCCCTGCTCTTTCCTGCCTTCCCAGTCAACCCTCTCCAAAGAGCTGTCTCCACTAGATTTGTCCATTAACACCCATTCACTCCTCAACCCACTCTTGGCCTGGTATCCTTTCACCATCATCTGACCAAACATCTTTGATAAATCCACTAAATCTAGTGACCATCTGCCAGTCTGCATCTCAGCAGTGTTTCGTTTTTCAAGAAAACAGTGAAGGCTAGTTCTACCTACCCAAGTGCATTCAGAACCCACAAGCTCTGCAGCTATCAATGTGCTCCCATTGCTAGGGTTCTACAGCTTGGTCCTAAGCCCTATTTTCACTCTATATAATCTCTCCCCTTAAATGGAACTCATGCACATCCACACCCTAAGTTATCACCAACATGCCTGTGATTCCCAAAAGTTTATTTCCAGGCCAAACCTCTTTTCTAAGTTCAAGACCTATATATTCAAGTGCCTACTCAACTTCTAGATCTTTGAAGGGTCCCTCAAGTCCAGCAGGACTATACCCAAACTCAAGACTATCCCAGCAAAGCTCTCCTGGTGCTCCTCATCCCAGGGATTAGTGGAACCATCATCAGTCATCTGGCTGTGCATGCTTGAAATGTGGGCATCATTCTAGGGACCTCCCTCCTAGCCCTGACAAGCCAACCATTACCCAATCCCGTCAGTTCTTACCTCTCTTTCCAATTGCTTTGCTTTTTTTTTGAGCCCAAGTTTCACTCTAGTTGCTCAGGCTGGAGTGCAATGGTGCAATCTTGGCTCACCACAACCTCCACCTCCCGGGTTCAAGCAATTCTCCTGCCTCAGCCTCCCCAGTAGCTGGGACTACAGGCATGTGCCACCATGCCCAGCTGATTTTTGTATTTTTTTAGTAGAGATGGGGTTTCACCATGTTGACCAGGATGGTCTCAATCTCCTGACCTTGTGATCCACCTGCCTCGGCCTCCCAAAGTGCTGGGATTACAGGCATGAGCCACCATGCCTGGCCCCAATTGCTTTACTTTTGTCCATCTCCACTGCCACTGCCCTAGTCCAAGTGCTATGGTCTGAATGTTTGTGCCCCTCTAAAACCCGTGTCTTAAAATCTGATGACCAACGTGACTGTTTAGGAAGTGGGGCCTCTGGGAGGTGTTTAGGTCATGGGGGCAGTGCTCTCATGAATAGGACTGGGGTCCTTATGAAAGAGGCTCACAGAGCTGTCTTGCTCCTTCCACCAGGTGAGGACACTGCTAGAAGATGCCCTCTAGAAACTAGGAAGAGGGCCCTCACCAGACACCCATCTGTTGGTGCTTTGACCTTGGCACTTCCAGCCACCAGGACTGTAGGAAATAAGTTTATATTGCTTAAAAGCCAACAGCTGATGTTGATTTGTGATAGCAGCCCAAACAGACTAGGGAACCAAGTGACTGCTCTTCCTTTAAGGAGGCAGCCATCAAACTGATCTCTCCACTCATTCTCCTTATTCAGAAGACAAACCTTTACAAAACATGAGTCTGAGCATGTCACCCACAGCTAGAAATCCTGCAACAACTTTCCATGGCTCTCAAGAAAGAAGTACATTCCTTCCAGTTGCCACTAAGGCCTGGCCTGGCCTGGCCTCGCCTGCCCATCCACCTAATTGTACCCAATGCCACCTCTTGTCATCCACGCTCCGGATTAATGCCTCTATGAATGAGGGTATCTCCAGCACAGCCAGAGATACTGATAATTATTATAATATTATGAATGAGCTATATTTTAATTGCAGTAAAATAAACATAAAATTTACTACCTTCACCACTTGAATTCTGTATTTCAGTGGTTTACACACCTTCTCACTGTTGTATAACCATCACTACTATCTAATCTCCAGAACTCTTTATTTTGTAGAAATCTCTGTTCCCATTAAGCCCTAACTCCCACCACCCCCTCCTCCAGCCTCTGGCACCTACCATTCTACCTTCTGTCTCTACAAATTTGAGAACCTCATATAAATGGAGTCATATGGTATTTGTCCTTTTGTAACTGGCTTATTTCCCTTAGCATAATGTCTTCAAAGTTCTTTCATACTGTAGCATGTATCAGAATTTCCTTCCTTCTTAAGACTAAATTATACTTTATCGCATGTATAGACTACTTTATCCATTTATCTGTGGATGGACACTTGGTTTTCTTCTACCTTTTGGCTGTTGTGATAAATGCCTCTATGAACGAGGGTACGTGGTGTGAGCCATGTTTTTAACATGTTCTATGTACTAGACAAATAGTAGTTTCATTTACTATTTTATTTAATTTTGAGGAAGCTAAGAATGTCAAGGATAACATCTTCTAACACTTATCTTTTCAGGATGCCTCATTATTTGCCATAACTTCTGCCCTATATTCGTGTTTTATTAATTGGAATTTAAATGCTACTCTTAGACATCAGCATAAACTAAGCAACTATGTGCCACTGATTTCAGAAGTTCTAACTAATTAGATGTGGCCAAAAATGCTGACTATTTGGACCTGAGTATGATCAAGTCAAAGGGTCTTGACTCAATAAATGTGTATCTTAGAGAAATTTAAGGAACAAAGACATTCCAAACATTGAAAAAATGAGATGGTTTAATAAGTGACTGGTATGAACTGGTCGCTATCTCTGCAGAAGACCTAAATGAAGAAGCAGCCAGCGTGAAACACCCTAATCCCTGATGGCAGGGTGCATGCCAGAGTCTAAGGCCCCACACATCAGATGAGCTACACAGTGAGACCACCCAGGAACCCCTCAGACACCTGACCTTGCTCCCTGATGCCTTTCCCAGGTGATCGGCTGCAGTGGTCCTAGAACAGCAATGACCAGCCCCACACAGCCTGCTCCACAGCCCCCAGTGCTTCCTACATGACAGGAACCACCATACACACAGCCTGGGCTGCAAGGAGGACACCAGGGTGGGGAGCAGGTGGGGAAGGAGAAGAAACACCCTGCACTGAAGCCTCACTGAGGCTGAGAACTGGAGAGTCGAAGCCAATACTGAGGACCAGCAGATGGCTCTGTCCTTGGCAGGCCGCCATAGCCCTCCTGAAATGGAAGTTATCACTGTGGTGGTTTTAGAGTGGAGGCTCCGAGGCCTAAGCATCTCTGAGATAACACAGCAGGTGGGACTGCATGGTGCACCCATCTTCCACACTCCACCACCCTGCACGACCTTAGCCTCTGGGCTAGCAGTCATTTGATTGTGTTACTTATAACCTCACCAAACCTACCAGCATAGAGATGGTGGTTAGACCCCATTAGAGGAAGGAGGTGGAGTCCTGGGTCCCATCACCTGCAAGAGGTTGAGGAAGAGAAACCCTGGCCGAAATCAGGAAGGAGTGGCCAGTGAGGCACAATGGCTCTTGATGAGATCACCACTCACAGCCCTAAGCTGTCAATGGGTGTCTCAATCTTTCTGCTCTCCCAATCCCTCTGCTGCCAGATCAAGAGCTGGGAGCTGACTCTCTCCTAAAGACCTCCTACTTCTCAAAGTCCAGCATTCTCCAATTCCCTCCTAATGTAAAACATGGCCTAGCACACGATAGGAACATCGAACCCTTTAACAACATCCACATTGTTCTTCCACCACCAAAATCCAAATTCTTTCCTGAGGGTTTCAAGGCTCCTCCTGACCTGCCCCAGCAGCCTTTCCAGTGCCCCCCAATCACTCTCCCTCCCTGTCCCTGGGCGCTAGACCACCCCAGGCAGCACAACAGGCCAGGAAGGAGCCCACCTCAGCACCAGCCGCAGAGGCACAATGGGTCTCAAGCCCCTCTCCAGGCCAGCTGCCCCTCACCTATAGAACCTCACTCCTTATTCCCCATCCTGTTGGAGGCATCTCTTTCTCCACTGGGTGCCTTCTCCAGAATAAAATACTTCCATCCTTCTGGAAGGGGATGAATGTCAGAACCTCCCACGAGCCTTCTTCCCACTGGCCCTTTCAACTCTTTCTCCTCAGAGAGCTTGTTTTCAATCATCCTCTCCTAAATCAGCCCCTCTCACCCTGAACGCCCAGAAGGCACACATCTGAGAAGTTCGCAGACCTCACCCTCCCTGCAGAAGGAAGTCTGCTCTCCTCACCTGCACCCCCATGGACCAGTGAACTATGCCAGGCTCAAAACTCTGCATCTGGGAAGAGTGCAGCACTCGCACATGTAGGATCATCCTGTTCTTCCTGAGATGTTCGGTTGTATCAGCACCAGTAGCCTTAATCATCCATGCAGCTGCAATGCTCGTCAGCAAAGTGGCCATGGTACCTTTCTCATGGGTCACAGCCACCCGCAACATGCTGACTCACAATGTGCCCACAGCAGACTCTACTAAGCTCAACGGTTCTTACATAAAGCAGAACCGCAGAACCACATTGAAATATCTAGTCCAAATGAACACTGATGCCAATCTCCATACAGATTTAGAAGTAACATTAAAATAACATCAAAAATGCCAAGGAGTGAAAGAAAAACATAAAAGAAACACATACAGGAAAGTCTTCATCAAAAGAAAATCCAACCATCTGAAATTCTGATAGGAATTGAGAGGAGACAGAGGAGGAGAGTATTTCATTTGAATACCTGACTTATACTAAAGCCTGTGGCAAGGTTACCTTGAGAGGGTAGCCTAGCCATTCAACATGACTTTGTAAAATAGCATGGTAACCACTTACAGAGCAACTGTCCTGTGTGGATCAGTACTAACATGTGGCCATTGAAAGCATCTTTAAAGTATATTTGATATCATAGCTTGACTTTAAAAAAAAAGGAATAAAAAATTGACCTACTTATAATGTGATTTTTTTAAATTTTAAAGTTTAATAATTCACCATATAAACTTATGATCTGTTGAGTTTTTACTCCAAGAACTCAGGCTAAAGATAACTTTCGACTTGAATTACCTCCATACCAGTAAGTGTGGAGGTCACTCGACTCTGAGCTCAGAGGAAGGAGGAGATTCTCACGGGAACAGCAGGCTCTGAGGATATCAGATGTCCTTTCATGACCACACATCACTTCAACCAACGCAATGAAACCAGGAAGCATCCTCCATTATTATTGTTAATATTTTCTTACTTCTTTGTCCTTCCACCAGCATTGTATTTGGGTTATGTACTTTCTCAGTTGCCTTTGCTCTGCCAGGCATCGTAAGCTATGTATTAGAAGCTCCTCACCAGAGGCTGTGTCTACAATTTCCAGAAGGAGCAGGGTTTTTATTTTACATTTTTTAAAAGTCATATGTACCTAAGAAACTTTTTAAGCTTATGTCCACACTTTTATAAAAGTTTTTAACTCCTTCTAAACAATTTCTTAAAATACATGTTATCATTTCACTATTCTTACAGTGATGAGATTCCTGAAGAGAAATACCTGACCTTGCACAGCAAACACAAGAAATACGACATCATTGATCTGACTTTTTATTCTTTTGGGAATTCTGAGGACAGCTTAGTCTTAATACTGAACCCAAGAGCATAAAAGGCAAACTACAAATCAACTACATCTACCTCCCAGGCCCAAGGGAGAAGGTACAAGCTTTTTGAGCTATCCACTATCTTTTCCTGAAGCCCAGCTGAGAGAAGGAATTTATGGGGAAAACTGTCCAGGGACATGCAATCCATTCCTACTTTAAAAACTCAAAATCCTGCTTTTAGATCAAGCTGTTCTTCTAGAAACCTGTGCACCTGAGTCACATTGGCTTAGCAACCTACAGAATCACTGCTTGGAGCTCATGTAAAGGTCCAATTTTGAAGCTATATCTTCAGCTTCTCTGAGAATTTCTATGAGAAATCTGTGAGTGTGTCTACTGCTAAGATGCTATTTAGGGTTGGCCCATTATGTAGCTTAATCTGCCCTACATAAAGTACCATTAGAGATTTGGTTTTTAATGATCAGAACTGGGATAAAGCTTTCTTTGTATAATTACTACACTTCCCTTTTTTCCCCCAATGAGAACTAAATGACTGCTCTCATCTTGCTCTGGACTACCAGAAAACACAGAACAAAAAATTTGCTGACCCTTTGAAAGTCTGTCACATTCACACTCAGCCTTTCTTGATCCTCAAGGCCTATTTTAATGTGAATATTTTATGTTAGTACTTATTTTTATTATAAGCTCTATCAAAATCTGAAGAAAAAGAGAGAAGGTAGGTCTGTTCTCTTAAAGGCATGAAACAACATGGTGTGTGAGAAACATAATTTTTACCAAAATTTAAACATTTGCTATGAATAAAAGGATTTGTAAAATATCTCATTGTATCAAATATCAAGTGGCTCAAGTGACAGTGCTCCATAACACTGCTCTTGGTCCTAGGTGTTATCATTAATGGTTCTAACAAGATGCCCACACATAACGCAGAATAAAGCCATGTTACAGGAGGCCCCCAAAGTCACAGGAGATTGATCCCACTGGTCCCTGGGACTATGAAAATCTTGCTCATCTCACAAAATAAAGATGGAGAGTACCAAGCACTGGGAGCAGCCACAGGCACGAGGATCACAAAGAAAGAGAACATCTTCTCCTCTTCCTCCTCCTCCCTCCTTTCCTGCTGCTTCCCAACCACTAAATTAACTCTCCCACCCATGTGGCTAATCTTTCATTTAACAGTTCGAGGAAATCCCTATATCCTGGAATAAGAATGTATAATTGCAATAAGTTTTAAATTGGTGTATGAGTGATCAAGATGTTTTGAGTAGATGCTACCTGCCTGGTCCAATCTTCAGTTCCACTCTCTTTCCACAAAACAGAGAGGCTTTGCAGGAGTAGCGGGCTGTGATCGACAGTGTTCAGAAACGCTGCTGCAGACTGCCTGCCCCTCTAACTCCACCACACTCACTGACACATGAAAGATACTCAATAAGCATATCATGAGTGAATACACTGGTTGCCAATGGCTAACAGAATGTGCACAAATCTTCAGACACCAGAACAATAAATCCAAAACTTTAAAAGAAACATTACACATATATATGATTATACGATTTTATATGTATATCCACACACACACACACACACACACACACACACACACACACAAACACAGAGACTTTTTTATTATATAGAAACCAAGTTACTTAAATAAAAGAAAATGCTTCTGTTTTTTACCTTTATACAGCCATCAAAAATATCAGTTTTCCATGAGAGGCCAACTTTTCCAATAAGAGGTAGGTGTTCTCTGTTATTTTTAAAATTTATAACAATGAGCTTCACATGTCCATTTTCAATATTTCCTGAAAAGACATAAGATTGTTTCAATCACTGTCTTCTGATACAGTAACTGAACAAGCCAAGCACGTTCAGTTGGCGGCTTCATGAGGACACCTCACCTAGGTAAGCCCTGGCCTCACTGATGGGGACAACATGGGCACAGCAATCCTGGCCTCCAGCGTGCAGCCAGAGCAACACATCTGTGTCCCAGAGACAGAAGCATTAACATGTGCCCAGAAAGGTGATGTCAACGGTGAGTTGGGAGAAGCCGGCTGAGGTGAGCCTGGATAGCCACCTGTCACTGATGGAAAGGCTCAAGAAGAAAGGGTTCTTCTGATGTGGGTAAGCCAACAGTGATGGCAACCAATATCCAGAATTACAGAACTCAAGAAAGCAGATGAAGAAATGGCAGAGAAACAAAGGATTGGAGAGCAGGAAAACATGAAGAGGAGTAGAAGAAACTCATACCTCCGCACATGCTTATAATTGAGTGAGTCCGTGCACATGCCAACCCAAGTTGGAAGCCAAACCCTGGCCCTCCACTGCCAGCTCCAAGCCAGTTACCAGCAGCCTGGCCACACAGAGGAGACCCTGCACCCACCCAGCACACTAGCCCTGCTGCCCTAGGCCATACGTGTCAGGGAGAGCCTGCAGCACCACCTGGCTTCACACAGACATGAGCTTCCCGATTCTGTCTGAACACACCCTGAGACGCGACCATGAGGCACAGCAACACAACTCATACCAGAGAGTTCTTCAGAGACAGAAGTCTGGACAGAGGGAAGGTGCAAGTCACAGGGCAAAGCAGACAGAAACATTATGGAAAAGAACAAGTGTTCTCCAGCCCTGGCCCAGTTATTTCACAAGACAAAATAAAACCAAAGCCAAGCTTTGGGAGCCAAATCCCTGTTGTAGAAATGTTATACAGTGTTCTCCAACTTCAGTGTCACCAGAAGGTTAATGCCCACCCTTTGCCAGGGGTCTCTTTTGTGACCCAGTAATGTGCTTTAAGTGAGAGACAACGCAGAGGCAGGGTTTTCAGCCCTGCAAAGGGGAGCCCCTCGCCCAGACACCATGCTGCTGGTTTCTCCACGTCTTACTTCTGTTCCAAGGACAGAGGCAGCCCACATTTTCCTCTCTACTGCTGAGTATCTAGCAAGAACTGTATAGCTTCCCTTCCATTCTCCCCAGGCCTGGGGACAAATGCCAAATGACACAGACCCTTCCGAGGCAACAGCTCTGCTGTCACCTCATCACCTTGGCAGGGCTTGAGAGAAGAAGGGAGTAAGTGTATGAAAAGTGAGGCCTCAGTGGAGGCACAGTGATGACATTCTGAATGGGCCAGATATGACTCTGCTCTGCCCTGTACTACTGCGGCCATGTGCAAAACTAAGGGAGGCTTCTGACTGGCGCAGCAAAGGCAGGCAGCCAGCGTCGCCTACAGAAAACCAGGAGCTCATCTTCCACGCAGTTTGTCCCCAGGACATGGCAGAAAATGTACTCCAAAGTACCCTGGTAGCCAATAACGTCTCAATGGCAACTATCTGAGCTAATAAACATCAAATTCCTGTAGGAAGCAGAGACTGTTATTTTGTTATTACTAGGTATTCTCCCACTTCAGAACAATATTAACACTGTGGTGTCTCAAAAGGTCAGAGCTCTTTCCGCCAACCCTCTGTAACCACTTACAAGACAGAGAAAGGTTAAGCTCTTCCTACGTTTAAACAATCTGCACATGGAATGGATGTGTGAAAGCATATGTATATAAAATAGGTGTATTTTTGAGTACTTATTATACACCAACCACTGAGTTAGGCATTTAACAGCTTAAAAGATTACTTTAAAATAATACCTTACATAATAACATAATTGGGTATAATTTTCTGAATGCATAAGTGATAAACCTGATGCACAGAGGTTAACAGTAACTTGCCCAAAGTCAGACCCCTGGTCAGTGGCAGAAACACAATCCAAACCCTGTTCTGTGTCCACAGTCTATGTTACAATAGATTAAGAAATATACAAAACATATCACCAATTAGTTATCTACTAGCCAAGAATTTGCAATGCAGATTCAGATTCTTATGAAGCTTTGTTTTCATATCACTCCCAAGAGAAAGGCCTATTTATAAATTAGCAAGCAGGATGCACTGGGGAATCACTACAGCTTCCCAATACTTGGGGCAATGTCTCAGTCTGTGAGTCCCACACTCAGTCTCCCACTCCCAGCCTTCCTTATAAGCTGGTCACTGGTGATGCAGGTTCCTTCAATGAGACACATGTGTTCCTACAAACCTGGAGTCAAAAGCGAGCAGTGAGAGGAGGGACAGAACGGAAAGAGCCATCTGCTGGTAGAGGGAGTGGCAGGGGCCTGCTCCTCGGGCTAGCAGGGGCAGAGCTCCAGAGGCCACTAGTGGTTACTATACTGGTGATGGTTTCACAAGAGAAGCCACAGAGCATGGCTTTGCATCTATAAACACAGAGTCTGGCTCTCCTACAGAGACTATGAGCAAGTAAAGCCTTTATTAAATTTCTGTGCTCCTTAAGTCATTCAGAATAAATTCTGTTCTTGGAGACTCTAATCTTAACAATACACGAGACCATCTGCAAAATTCAGCAAAATACAATTTGAGGCTCACCATCCTTGGCTTCCAGTGACACTGTAACTGTAAGTATGGCCTTTAGACTCAAAGATCTCATTCCAAACCCTGCTTAGCCATTTACTACCTCTGTAACGATATTGATACTTCCTATCCATGAGCCTGGAAGGCTTTTCCATTTATGTCATCTTTGATTTCACTGAGAAGTGTTTTGTAATTCTCGTAGAATTACAAAATAGAACTCGTAGAGATCTTTCACCTCCCTGGTCAGCTGTATTCCTATTCCTAATTATTTTATTCTTTTTCTTTTAATCTAGCTTAATTTTAAATTCTGGGATACATGTGCAGGACATGCAGGTTTGTTACATAGGTAAATGAGTGTCACGGTGGTTTGCTGCACCTATCAACCCATCACTTAGGTATTAAGCCCCACATGCAATAGCTATTTATCCTATTCTCTCCCTTTCCACACACCTCCCGACAGGCTCCAGTGCATGTTGTTCCCCTAGATGTTTTATTCTTTTGGTGGCAGTTGTGAATGGGAATGTGTTCTTGATTTGGTTGTCAGCACAGATGTTGTTGGTGTACAGAAATGCTACTGATTTTTGTACATCGGTTTGATATTCTGAAACTTTGCTCACGTTTATCAGATCAAGGAGCTTTTGAGCAGAGACTGGGAATTTTTAGGCATATAATCATTTCGTCCACAAACAGGGATCATTTGACTTCCTACTTGGATGCCTTTTACTTCTTTGTCTTGCCTGATTGCTCTAGCCAGGACTTCCAGTACTATGTTGGAGTGGTCAGAGAAGGCATCCTTGTCTTGTTCCAGTTTTCAAGGGGAATGCTTCTAGTTTTTGCCCATTCAGTATAATACTGGCTTTGAAACAGATGGCTCTTATTATTTTGAAGTACGTTCCTTCAATGCCTAGTTTGTTGAAGGTTTTTTATCATGAAGTGATGTTGAATTTTATCAAAAGCTTTTTCTGCAACTACTGAGATAATCGTGTGGTTTTTGTTTTTAATTTTATTTATGAGTCACATTTATTGATTTGCATACGTTGAACCAATCTTGCCTCCTGGGGATAAAACCTACTTGATCATGGTGGATTAGCTTTTTGATGTGCTGCTATATTCAGTTTGCTAGTATTTTGTTGAGGATTTTTGCATCTATCTTCACCAAGGATATTGGCCTGTTCTTTTTAATTGTCTCTCTGCCAGGTTTTGGTATTAGGATGATGCTGGCCTCACAGGATGACCTAGAGAGAAGTCTCCCCACCTTAATTTTTTGGAATAGTTTCCCTAGAAATAGTACAAGCTCTTCTTTATACATCTGGTAGAATTTGGCTGTGAGTCCTTCTGGTTCAGGGCTTTCTTTTGGTTAGCAGGCTTTTATTACTAATTCAACTTTTGAACTCATTACTGGTCTATTCAGGGAGTCAATTTCTTCCTGGTTCAGTCTTGGGAGGGTATATGTGTCCAGGAATTTATCCATTTCTTCTATGTTTTCTAGCTTACGTGCATAGAGGTGTTCATAATAGTCTCAGGGTTTTTGTATTCCTCTGGGGTCAGTGGTAATGCCCCTTTGTCATTTCTGATTGTGTTTATTTTTTTATTCTCTATTTTATTACTCTAGCTAGCAGTCTAATTTTTTTCAAAAAACAATTTCTGAATTCATTACTATTTTGTGATTTTTAACATTTCAATTTCCTTTAGCTCAGCTCTGATTTGGGCTATTTCTTGTCTTCTGCTAGCTTTAAGGTTGGTTTGTTCTTGGTTTTCTAGTTCCTCTAGTTAATAATGTTATGTTAATCTGAGATCTTTCTAACTTTTTGATGTGGGTATTTAGTGCTAAAAACTTCCTTCATAACACTGCCTTAGCTTTGTCACAGAGATTTTGGTATGTCATGTCTTTGTTCTCATTAGTTTCAAAGAATTTCTTTATTTCTGCCTCAATCATTTCCCAAAAAGATGTTCAGGAGCAAGTTTTTTAATTTCCATGTAATTATATGGTTTTGAGTTATTTTCTTAGTGGTAATTTCTATTTTTATTGTGCTGTGGTCCAAGAGCATTGTTGGTATGATTTTGGATTTCTTTTTTTTAATTTGCTGAGGATTGTTTTATGTCTGGTTGTGTGGTGGATTTTGGAGTACGTGCCATGCACAGATGAGAAGAATGTATATTCTGCTGTTTTGTGGTGGAGTGTTCTGTAGATGGCTGTTACGTCCATTTGGTCAAGTGTAAAGTTCAGGTCCTGAATATCTTTGTTAGTTTTCTGCCTTGATGATCTAATACTGTTAGTGGGGTGCTGAAGTATCCTACTATTATTGTTTGGTTATCTAAGTCTCTTCATAGGTCTCTAAGACCTTGCTGTATGAATCTGGGTGCTCCTGTTCAGGACAGTTAGGTCTTCTGGTTGAATT